TTTGGTACCAGGGATCGAACTCAGGTCTTTGTGCTTGCAAGGCAGGCAGCAGAACCGCTGAGCTAAATCCCTGGCCCTGTGGGTTTCTTAAGTGTGTTACAAATACCTGGGTGTCAGCTAAGGCTGAGCCATGAGGGCACTTGGAGAAGGGTCCGTTTAACCCATGTAGTCCTTTGTGAGTGAATTAATTCTCCAAATAAAGAACAGTACACAGTGAATCATCAGCATCAGGGCAGCAGCAGAGCAGAGCAGAGCTGGAGCTCCAAGCCCAAGAGCTACATGTCTCTTTATTCCTTCATCAAAAACAGCAGTTACAGCTACACAGCAAACACAGTGACTAAAATATTACAGTGTTCTTTAGTTCACAACAGTGACAGTGTCTTATCAGTTTGAGACATAGGGAGACTCAATACTTGCTGCATGACCCTGTCTGCGCTGTGCATGTGTGGTTGAGTATGTTGTCATTCTTAGATAACTGTCACCCATTATGCTTATGTCCCTGAGAGCAGTGTTGCAACCGTAAGTGTCCTCAGATGCTGGGGCTGTGAGTATAATCAAAAGTGGTAACCCACACTGGGGATGTATATTTTCAGAGTAGGTTTCAATAGAGCTGAGCTGGCACTGCTATGGCTGCTATGGAGGAAAGTTACTTAGGTGACTAGAGAGAAATGTCCCAAAGACCTCTTTGTCCTAGGGCTGAGATTTCTTCTGGACTATTACCTGTCTCTCTCTGCCTCCAGGGTTGTTGATCTCCCTACCCCCTCTTGCTTTGTTTTGTTTTTGGTAGGAGGGATCAACTCAGGACCTTGGACTTGCCAGGCAGATGCAGCACCACTGAGCTAAATTCCTGGCCCCTTGATAAGTGGGGATTTTAGAATTTTTGATTCAGAGTCATTTATGAGAAAGTAAGACTTAAATAATACAGTTAAAACACTTTTGTTTTCTCTCTCACTCTCAAGAGGCAAAAATAGCCATTCAGATTCTTTGATTATTGTTTTAATTTTCTGCTTGGTAATGCAAATTAGCGTCAATGATAGCTTTTGTCTCTGGAGGCACATTTTGGTGAGGATTAGAGATCCACTCTGGGAATGCTCTTAATCTTACTTCTCTTTCTGTACCCAAAATGGTTAAGATTTAGTTGGTTTTTTAAATTAATTTTATTAACACATTTAATGTATACAATATAATGACATTCATTGTTGGAAATTTGTACCTTTACATAATCAATCTTGGTTCTTATTTTTCCCCATTCTTCTGCCCTCCCTTTAACTCCTTCCTCCCTCCCTGTTGACTTTGTTTCCATTGTTTTTCATTTTCTCATATTAATTCCATAAGACTTATTTCTCGTGTCGTGCTCAGAGTCACTCTTCCGTTCCTTCTCCACTACCCTACCCAAATAATGTAGTTTGTGTAGAGGCACGGTGGTGACGCTCAACAACTAGGCCACACATGGAGGTCTGACAGATTTTATTAGGGAAGGCAGGTTAGGGAGAGAGGAGAGCGGGAAGAGAGAAGAACAAAGAAAGGAGGGTCCTTTTATCGTTTGGGGGCTGGGCTATTGCTTATTTATGAGAGTGGGCTACTTTTAACCTATCACAGGCCAGGTTGCCCTTTATGGGTTTGGTCCTGGAAACTCCTCTCTGGACCGCTGTGGCCTGGGGGGGGGGGGAAGGGAAACTAAAGATAAGAGCATGCGGTCTTTAAGAGCCAAGAAGCAGCAGGAAAATGCAGCCTGTGATGGCAGCGCCAGGTCCCTAACAGTTTGCAGCAGTGTTCGGTGCAAAGCAATTCTCTCCTCTGTGGCTGCTGGATTTCAGGAAATAAATTTCCAGAATGCTGAGTTTCCTCTTCCTGGGACATTCACTTATCTCTGGACCATATTTTAAAAAAACAAAAACAACTGTTCTAGATTTAATCTGGAAACTCTCAAAGAACAAATGTAAAAGTTTTAGTCCAAATTTATCTACCTCTCAGTCCTTAGAACTAGAGATTAACTCCTCTTACTCACCTCTCCCCTCAAGAATGATGCTGACTGGTTTTTATAGCACAGGGCAGACTGACTCACTTTTATAACACAGATACGTTCATTGAAGAACAAAACATTCCTAGGGAACTTTATGAGTTTAATAAGAGTTTTAAACAAAAACAGGTATCAGAGAACAGGCACGGCCCCAGTCCCCAGAGGGTTGCCTCTCTCCTCATGATTATTCTCCAGAACATCTTGCCAGACCAGCCAGTATTCTCAGAGATACGCTGCGGAGGCTCTGAAAAAGGAAATCTTATAGCTAATCACATGTGTCACAGCCCTGTATGACCCAAGGGTTTACGGAGTGAGAAATGAAGATGGGAGATTCAGAAAAGACAAGGAGGTGTAGATGGGACCGGGTGGGGCTCTTCCTCCCGATAGGAGGAAAGCCCCAGGCAAATGCAGCCCAGTTTATTTATAGTGGTAGAGATAAAGTGAGTGCAGGTAAAAGGGGCTGGTTTGTAACCAGAGGGAGTAGCTAAGTTCTGCAGGACATCATGCTTGGATGGTTTTCTGAGGAATGGGCAGGAAGGAAGACAGTCCTCTTCTTGGCCAGGCTTTGCTCCACCACGCCCTCTTGTCACCTTTTCTCCTGCCTAGTATGCTGGAGGAAGTGAACAAGATGCATGTTCCTTGTTCCACATGGGGCCCTTCCTCAGCCTGGCCATAGTGATCTAAAGTGCAACACGCCCAGCAATCACAGTCTAAGGGTCACAGGCAAAATGGGAAAAAAAACTTTCGTAGGTAGACATCTGCCAAAGGACAGCTTAGCTAGAGGCTTGGCGGGCCTTTCCCCCCCACTGTTTACAATACATACTTAGCTCCAAAGAGTGCCACCTAGTCTCTGCACAGAAATTTGGCCTACACACCCACTGTGACTATCCAACAACTATGACTGTTAAAGCAACAATGAGGACTTTGTATAGTGAGATATTCTAATCACATAAACCATCAGCCGAGGCCCCATCTTAAAAACTATTGGGTTTCACAGGTGTAAAAGATTTTTTTCTTCTAATTCTTATTATAAGAGATCTCTATTATTTGACCTACAAAAGTTCTGACTAGTCTTATTTATAGTTACAACCCTGAAAATTATAAAAGATTTATTATAATTCTACTTGGCCAGATATGCCTGAGTGCATTCTGGTTTATAAACAAGTTGTCTTACATGTGTTTGTCTCTTCAATTTGTTGCAATACATACAGCTGTTGTTTTGTTTTGGTACCAGGGATTGAACTCAGGTCCCTGCGCTTGTGAGGTGGGCAGTGGAACCACTGAGCTAAATCCCATTTGATCTCAAAATTTTTTCTTCTTTTTGCCCTTTTGGATTTTTTTTTTCCCCAGTACTGGGAATTGAACTCAGGGCCTTGTGTTTACCAGGCAGGCACAGTGCCACTGAGCTACATCCCTGATCCCTTTTTGGATTTTTTTTTTCTTCAGAAAGATGATTTATGACATCATTTACACAAATTTATGGCAAATTTCCTTTTTGAATTTTTTAAGGATGTTTGCCTATAACTCCAGTTGGCTTATACATAAATGTCACTAAAGTTAAAGACATGCTTCCACCCAGGTGGGTAGCTGATCAAAATGATGTTGAGACAGATTTGTTTGTTTGTTTGTTTTTTGCACTGGGAATCAAACTCAGGACCCCATCCTTGCTAGGCAGATGCAGTGCCACTGAGCTAAATCCCCGGCCCTCAAGACTGGTTTTACATATGCAATACATATTTTTGTCTGTGTATAATAACTCAGGAATCTTTCATTGGTCAAAAATAATATGTTAATTGCTATGATCTAGTTCTCATAGGTCATCTAAAACTTTGTTAAGATAATTAAATAGGGACCCTTGGGCTTAAAAAAATAAAACAAAACTACAGGACAGGACTCCCCTTTGTGAATGAAGGAACAGCTGCCTAAAAATATTTTTCCAGGCTTTGTTCACAAAGTGGACCCCAATAAATTCCATAGCCTTCTGGAAAATACACTCCAATAAACATTGCTAAGCATATTATTGTGATATATTTACATCGGTCATCCCCAAAAGGCTGTTTCTGTGGGAAAACAATGAAGTTTTATTTAAAAATGTTCTTGGGGTCCGGAGATTTGGCTGAGTGGTTCCACCACCTGCCTTGCAAGTGCAAGAGCCCAAGTCCATCCCTGGTACCAAAAAAAAAAAAAAAAAAAAAAAAAAAAA